CAGGAGATCGAGACCATCCTGGCTAACACGGTGAAACCCCATCTCTACTAAAAATACAAAAATTTAGCCAGCCGTGGTGGTGGGTGCCTGTAGTCCCAGATACTCGGGAGGCTGAGGCAGGAGAATGGCGTGAACCTGGGAGGCGGAGCTTGCAGTGAGCCGAGATTGTGCCACTGCACTCCAGCCTAGGCGACAGAGCAAGACTCTGTCTCAAAAAAAAAAAAAAGTTAACACTGTTTATACTGATGGCAGGTAATCTACATATCAATTATTTATAGCACGTACTTCCTGCAATTAAGTATTTTATTAATTACCTATTTACCATAAGAGTAATATATATTCACACAAATTATTAATCTGAAAACCTATTAAATAAGCACTATTTATACTTTCATCAAAGAATAGGTAAATGGACAATTCAGAAATAAATGACGATGAGTGTTAAGCACTCAAATATAACTGTAATGACAAACAGAGCAAATGCAAGAGTAAGGAGAAGTTCAATGGCTTGCTTTGAAAAAACCTTTACCAATTCTATACATCATAGAGAGGATACTTCATTAATTACCCCTTGGTATAACCTTACAAGGATTCCTTTAAAATTTCCTTACTGAAACCACATAAACCAAGATAACATTCCATCTCCCACCATTATTCTCAGTTTACCACACTACAGTAGAAGCTCACTCTAACTTACTCCACTACAGGCTGGATTGGTAGCACAACTGTAGCTGTGAATCTTTTTTAAAACTTTAGGAAGCAGATCACTCTAGATGCCTGAAGAGTTCCAAAGAACTATTTCCAACTATGCATACTTAATCCCCAAATTATTTTCCACTATGAAAAATATTACAATACCAAGGAAAAAGGTGAAGAGAAACCAAATGAATGATTTACGCCTACTTAGCACAATTCTTTGGGAATATTATCCTATAGATAAAAAATTTTGAGTCACTGCAATTGCCTTCTGTTAAGAGAAGTGGTAGTTACTCTGGTGGAGAGTGTCCAGTCTTTCTACGATTCCAGGGGACTCTTGGAAAAAGGGCTGTGGAGAAGTCGAATTAGAGTCCTCTCCAGCATTAGAAAGCATCTTTATATGAGTTTGTTAAGACCTCTAGCAAATTCCAGTGTAAATATTTTTACAAAACGTTCACAGACCTATAACTAAGTGGCTTCAATTGAAGGTCCATGGCAGATGGGGTATCATAATGGAAAGAATACAGGTTTTGGATTCGGATATGGGATCAAATCCTGCCTCAGCCTCTTGCTATTGTGTGATCTTGGGCAAGCTATTTAGTCTTTTTCAGACTCAGTTTTCTCAGATATGAAATTAATACACACTTATGAAGGTAGCTGCAGAGACCAGAAATAATGTATTTAAGGCACTTAACACAAGGCCTGGAACACAGGCTCTCATTAAATGCCAGTATGAATAATAAGGTCTACATAGCAAAATCCAGTATTGAAGCTATAATTCAGTTTATATTTTCATTGATTAAAAATGTCTCATGAAAAGGTTAAAGTTAAAATAATGTAATGATAATAGTTTATTGTATTACCATCAAGTTCACAAAAGTGATCCCGTGAATCATCATATCTTGCCCAGTCAATGAAAGCTTCTTTGCTTTGATTACTATGGGAAGGAGGAATAAAAAAGAAAAATTATTAAATTTAGAGCTGCAACTTTTAACACTGTATTCTAGTATCATTAAAATAGATAATCTGAAGTCAGTTAAAGATTAGATGATGCCACAATTCTGTTATTAGTGATTACACAAAGGAATGATAAAAACCAAGTTATATGAAAATATATATATTAATTTCCTTGAGTAATTTATATTTCTTAACTACACTGAATTATGACTAGTCAATAATATTTTAACTAGAAATTAATTTATAAATACATATAACATGTAAACACAAAACTCAAGCTAAACTTTTCAATTAACTTAGAAATTATAATGTTAAGTGTATTTTTTCCTGAAGTAATTAAATTTACTTTCAGAATTCTTTTAATTTAAATTGCTTCTATACTTACAAGATCTAAAATACCAGTAACTGTATTTCTATAATCTCCCATCCAATGTGGTATTCACTGGTTACAACAATGCGACTTTCATCATGGTGTATCATTCACTTCACAGCCTACTTAACATTTAACAAAATCTATGATCAAGATTTCTGACTTGAAGAACTGATAAGGAACAACTTCACTGAAAACAACTTTGATCTACATTAATAAACCTATATTCAGGCCTTCTCTGTATTGAATACTCACGATGGTAGGATCTATCAGAGAGGCATCATTTTGCTACCCTCTTTATTCATAACACAAAAGGAAAAAACAAGGTACAAAAAACTATATAAATCAGGTATATAAAGGTAAAAATCAGGTAATTCCTAAATGTGGTACTGTCGTAATCAAGAATTTGTTTTGTATTTGAGAAGCCGCTACAAAGAAGTATATCAGTTTGACTATACCACATCAACTTTATCAATATATTTTTCCAGTTCAACTTACTGTGGAATTTTTTTCCCTATGGGAGTATATAATAAAAATTAACAAAAATATTGTATCGTAGTTGACTCAATTGAAATACATAATGCCACAAAAAATAATGCCTAATTATAGCTAAAATGATGTAACTAAACTTGTGTTTAATAAGATAGATCTTATGTTGAAAATAGTGAAGAACAAATCAATAGTGATATAAATTCCTATTTTCTTGTTAACGATATGACTTTCAGGAACTTTCTTCTCTGAGCATCCTTATTTGAGGAGGCTTTGCTGATTCTTTCACCTAATCCCTGCCTAAAACCGTAATAAAGCCATGCCTAAGCCAGAAAAAACACTGAATGTGCATCCAAAGCTAATAAAGCTGACTCAGTTTGATTTATAAATGAATTAGAAGGGACCTTAGAGGTTATCTAGTTGAACTTTTCCAAAAGTCAGCTTGAAGATGGATGCAACACTATTTGCATGAGAATTTCTCAGGCTTATCCTTTCAAGATAGTGTCCTGAAGTTAAAGTAGTAGTCTTCAAACTGGGAAATGAGGAGCACAAAAGATGGAATAGGGAATAAGAAACTTTCTGGGAGTGATAATTTTTTTTTTTTTTTTTTTTTGAGATAGGGTCTTACTGCACCCAGGCTGGAGTGCAGTGACATCATAACTCAATGTAGCCTTGACCTTCCAGGATCAAGTGATCCTCCTACCTTCAGCCTCCCAAGTAGCTCAAACTACAGACATACGCCAACACATCCAGCTAATTTATTTATTTATTTATTTTTACAGACAGGGTCTCGCTATGTTGCCCAGGCTGGTCTCAAATTCCTGGGCTCAAGTGATCTGCTTGTCTTGGCCACCCAAAGTTCTGGGATTACAGGCGTGAGTCACCGTGCCCAGTCAATATATCTTTTATTTATTTATTTACTTACTTATTTATTTGAGACACAGTTTTGCTCTGTCACCCAGGCTTGAGTGGAGTGGCACGATCTTGGCTCACTGCAACCTCCACTTCCTGGGTTCAAGTAATTCTCCTGTCTCACCCTCCTAGGTAGCTGGGATTACAGGCGCCCGCCACTACGCCTGGCTAATTTTTTTAATTTTAGTAGTATTTAAGTAGTATTTTCACCATGTTGGCCAGGTTGGTCTCAAACTCCTGGCCTCACGTGATCCCCTGCCTCAGCCTCCCAAAGTGCTGGGATTACAGGCATGAGCCACCAAACCTGGCCTGTGGTATCTTAATTGTGATGATGTTACATGGGTGGACACATGTCAAAACATCAAACTGTATACTTTATATGCTGTGTGTCATATTTCATTATACCTCAAAGTAAAGCTGTTTAAAACATCATAGTACCAGTCGCTGGAGAAGTTGTAGGAAAAATAACTGATACACTGCTAGTAGCAATATAATCTGGTAGCAATTTTAGGAAACAATTTGGCAGTACCTAATCTCATTCCTAGGTGTATTCTCCATAAAAATGTACACATGTATGCACCAAATTTATTTTTTATTTTTTTACACATAGTATCTCACTTCGTCACTCAGGCTGGGGAGTACAGTGGCACAATCATAGCTCATTGCAGTCTCAAACTCATGACCTCAAGTGATCCTCCTGCCTCAGCCTCTCAAGTAGCTGGGACTATAGGCCCACGCCACTGCACCTGGCTTTTTTTTTTTTTTTTAATTTTTTGTAGAGACAGGATCTCACTTGTTGCCCAGGCTGATCTTGAACTCCTGGCTTCACACGATCCTCCTGCCTTGGCCTCCCAAAATACTGAGATTACAGGCATGAGTCACCATGTCCAACTGTATCCACCAAAATATTTTTGAAATGGCCCCAAAGTATAAGCTATCAAGAGCAGAATGGAAACATGGCACATTCTTACTATAGAATATTATGTGCTGATAAAAAAGAATTAAACATTGCTATGTCCAAAAACATGAACGAATCTCAGACACATGTTAACAAAAAGAAGCCAGGTACAAAAGAATATATTCTATATCATTCTCTTTATAAACAGTTAAAACCAATCTCTGTCGGTATCTCAAAATCATGGTTAACTTTGGAAGGTGATAATGACTAGGAAAAGTCCACATGGTAATCCGGGCAGCAAGTGTACTGCTCTGGATGGTGGCTATAGAGTTGGGTTCACTTTGTAAAGTTAAATTGACCTTTACACTTAATAATTTTCTACTCTACTGCATGTGTATTATACTTAAAAAATTTAAGTTTAAAAAATTTCTGTTCAACAACAAAAAACTACAAGCAAAATTAAAAGACAAGTCCTAACAACCAATAGAGCCAACAAAGAATTATCACATTATATAAAGAATGCTTACAAATCAGTAATAATTTAAAAATCCAACCCAATAGAGAAAAAAATGACAAAGAATATAAACCGGCAATTTACCCCAAAATTTTATAATGACTTAAGCCTAATCCTCTATTTACACTCTCTCCTTGGTGACCTCACTCAGGTTATGGCTGCTAAATACCATCTATTCACTGACTGACTTCCAGACCTCTCCCCTAATTCAGACTTGTATACCCAACTGCCTACCTGAAATCTCCAAGGGGATGTCTCACAGGCAGCACAAACTTAACAAATCCAAATTTGACTTTAACTTTGTATCAGACTTGTTCCTCCTGCAGCTGTCCACAGGTCACTAAATGGCAACTCCATTTTTATAATTCCAAATCTTGTAGTTATCCAAAAGCTCATATCTTCTCAATATCACATATCTAATACTGCAGCAAATCCTGTCAGCTTTATCTTCAAAATACATCCAGAACCTGACCGCTTCTCATCATTTCCACTGCTACCACCCCGGTCTAAATCACCATAATGTCTCATTTGGATTACTACAATAATCATGTAATAAGGTTTCTGCAACGTATCAGGCTCCCTCAACACATGCCCTTAACTCCTCTGTTCAAAACCTCCCAGTGACTTTTATTCTACCCACTCTAAAAGCAATACTCATTATAATTGCTTTCAAGGCTCTACAAGAGCTCTACCCACCCCACCTCCTGCCCCATCCCCAGCATCTTTTGACCTTGTCTTCTGCTACTTTGCCCTTGATCACTGTGCTCCAGTTACATTGTTTTACTGTGTTTAGGTCTAGGCATGATCCTGCCATGGGGGTTTTCAACTAACATTTATATATACCTGGATTGCTCATACCCCAGCCAACCATAGGATGACTCATGCCTTCACCTTCTTCAGCAATTTGTTCCAGTGTCGTATTATCACTTAGGTCTTCTCTGACCACCCAATTTAAAACAATGCCACTCACTCCCAGCCCTCTTTGTTCTTCCCTGCCTGTCTTCCCTAACATTCATAATCATTTTACTTACTTATTTCTCATATATTTTACTTGTCTATCATGTTATTTCCTCTGACAAGGATAAAGCTACACGAGGGCGGAAATTTTATCAGTTGCGTTACTGTATTCCTAGTACCCTAGAACAGCGCTTGGCACATTGTAGACATTCATTTGTTGAATGAAGAAGAAACTCAAATGTCCAATAAATCAAAAATGCTCAAATCCTCTATAATTACAAAGTATAAATTAAACAAAAATGAGGTGCTATTTCACACTCATCAAACATTACTTTTGGTAAGGATGTAGAGAATGATACAAGCTGTCAGCACTGGAGTCAGTAAACATTCACACCAAGTACTATGGAATGCCATCAGGCAATATCAAGAATGGGTACAAAAAAGACAATCCTAAGATTCAACAATTTTACTTCTAATGTGAAAAAAAATTCAGGAATGCTCAAGGTGGCATGTTTGTAAAAGTAAATAATTGGAAATAGCTAAACAATCGTCAATAGGAGAATAGCTAACTAAAATGTGGCATATTTATATGATGAAAATCATCAGTTAAAAGAATAAATCTGTTGCAACATGGACAGATCTAGAAAGCAAAATGTATAATGAAAAAAATTGCAGAATGTTAAATATAGGATATCATTTATATAAAGGAAAAATAAAACCATATACACAAAATAAAACTATCTTATGTATACATATAAATATATGATAAAAACAAAAATGGACTGGATATACACCACCAAATTCATGATAGTAGTTACCTCTACTGGATTAGGGAATACAGCATAAGGGATTTAAAATTTATGTGATATTTCTTGTTCCTTAAAACATATGGCAAAAAATGTTAATATTTATTTACTTGGAATGGAGGATTATTTATTTGAAATGGAGGATATATATGTGGGTGTTTATTATCTTTTATTTTCCTACATTAAATTTTGTTTTCAATAAATAAAATTGCTAATTTATACTGAGTCATTAGCAATTATAGTACATAAATACAAATCTTTTTTTTTTTTTTTTTTGAGACGGAGTCTTGCTCTTGTTACCCAGGCTAGAGTGCAGTGGTGCAATCTCAGCTCACTGCAACCTCCACCTCCCCAGATTCAAGCAATTCTCCTGCCTCAGCCTCCCAGGTAGCTGAGATTACAGACACCTGCCACCACGCCCGGCTGATTTTTGTATTTTTAGTACAGACAGGGTTTCACCATGTTGGCCAGGCTAGTCTTAAACTCCTGACCTCAGGTGATCTGCCCACTTCAGCCTCCCAAAGTGCTGGGATTACAGGCGTGAGCCACTGTATCCAGCTAATAAATACAAATCTAATCAAATGGGAACGTAAAGGAATTTCTGAAATATCCCATTCCCAACTACTGATTATGTCTAGTCATTTTACACTGCACAATTTGAGGCCACTTATATATTATTTATGCTGGTTTCTATTTAGAACAAATAAGGAAAAGTTAACAGAAAAAAATCTATGAAATTTAACAGTTAGGCTAATAACTTATCATTCAAAAGGCAACATGCAGACTGAATTACTATTTATAAAAGACTTAGGAGTTCAAGCCCCTTCTTCCATAGTAATCAGGAAAAATGGATCCATAAACCCTGTTAGCTGAACAATCTTGTAAATTTCTACTTTTTAAAAGATTTACTATGGATGGTACATTCTAGGAATTTAGGGATAAATCAGCCAAGAAAAGGCAAAGCTATTATGAAATTTAGGATAAAGAAAAACTTTTTCTTCCTTTAAAAAACATATTAGTTAAAACTTTAACGGGTACAAAAATTTTTTACCAAAATCATAAAAAAAAATTGATTCTTGATATCAATAAGAGAATATTTTCTTAATACTACCAAAATAAAACTTGCCTTAATGTGCTGTTAATTGCTCCCAGTTTATTAGCTTGCTCACAATCTTCTAATTCTTTGGTATTGTTTGCCATTTTCAAGTACTGCAAAGAAGTTCATAAGTTTAGTAATAATTATTACCTTATTCTTTATTTCAGTTTCTATTGGCAGAATAATCAATCTGTCAACAATGATATACACTAAATATAGATACATTCCATTATAAAAATCCCTATCATATGTAAGAAATACAAATGAAAATGAGGCAGAAATTTCCACCACCTAAATATTATTTCCATCAACAACATATTAAAATTTAACAATTAGGCTGGGCGCGGTGGTTCACATCTGTAATCAGCACTTTAGGAGGCCGAGGCGGGCGGATCACTCGAGGTCAGGAGTTCAAGACCAGCATGGTCAACATGGTAAAACCCCGTCTCTACTAAAAATACAAAAATTATCCAGGTGTGGTGTCACACACCTGTAATCCCAGCTACTCGGGAGAGGCTGAGGCAGGAGAATTGCTAGAACCTGGGAGGTGGAAGTTGAAGTGAACTGAGATCACACCACTGCACTCCAGCCTGCATGACAGAGCAAGACTCTGTCTCAAAAAAAGAAATAAAAATTTAAAAATAAAAGTTAACAATTAGCACTGATGTGTTGGTGATGATGTCAACTGAAAAAACAACCCTCTTGGGAAGTAAATTTGACCATATATATGTGTGTGTGTGTGTGTGTGTATACATACATATATGTATCCATATATACATATATATGGTCAAATTTAGTTCCCAAGAGGGTTTTAATATATATAAAAGTTACATATATACACACACACATATATACACATATATATACACACATACATGTTTGCAAAATGCTTAAACCTTTGAACCTGCACTCCCACTAGTGAGACCATATCCCAAGGCAACCATTCTTTTAAAAAGGTACAACTGCCTTGGAAAATTATTTGGTATTATTTGTAATGTTGAGATAGGCACACCTTGTGGTTCAGCAATCCTGCCTTTACATGTACACCTAGAGAAACTCTTACATGTGTGCACGAGACAAAGGACAAAAATGCTAATGCATTACTGTTTGAAATAGCCAAAAACTGGGAACAACTGAAATGTCCATCACTAGAGGAATGGCTAATATGTGTTATAGTCATACAACTGACTACAGCTATTAAGATGATGAACAAAATCCACATATACCAACAAAGAAAATTTCAAAAGCATGAGTAAAAACACAAACTGAAAAAAAGTGTTTGTAACCTAAAGAAATACAAAAATATTTAAATAAAAAAATTTACACACAATAAATTACATATTACTTGTGAATACACGTGCAATAAAAGTGTAAAATATATTACTTGTAGATACACCTGCAATAGGAATATAAAATCGCAGAAGGATACTTCAGAAAAATGGTTAGTTCTGGGGAGGGAGGAAGTAGAATGAACTGGGAAATAGCTGAGGGGGTTTCAACTGCTTTTATATGGTTTTATTTCAGATCTGAAGCAAAAACAAATACAATAAAGTAAAAACAAAAGATTACACGGGAGAGAGAGCAAGAAGAAAATGCAAAGGAGGCACAAGGAGGAGACAGAGAGGATAGGATGATCTTCATTATGTACGTGCAGTAGTGAAAAACAGGAAATAAACAGTTATCTAAAAACATATAAATGGCAAAATAAACTATAATACTCTCATAAGAGGACAAGAACAATCATTAAAAATGAATATCTTAATACCATCTGAAAGTACTCTGCTCAAAATATCTTGATAATTATTTACTCTATATAACATAATTTTGAACCTGCCAGGCTGACTAGTTGAAACAGAAGACTAAAAATAGCTATGTGATAAAACACCTGCTGACTAGGGGATGTGACACTATAGTTACATTTAATAGTTGTTCCAGAGATTCCAAAAACAGTACTGAAGTAATTTCAAAAGAATCTAGGAATGTACAACCTATCTGCTTGATGCAAGAGTTAGGGATTTGGAATTCTGAGGCAAAATGTCTCCATTCCCAACTAACCATAATATGGTTCTTTATTACAGCCACTGCCAGTCAGTAAATGGTAAATTTCACAATGTAAAACAGAAACACTCAAGGAAGAGGAGGGACTTACCTTATTAGAATGCCCAGCTTTTATTCCAACCGGAATTTTACTCTTAAAAAAACAAGAAAAACACAAATTTAAAAAGTGATCTTTATTGTTTTTGGAATTTCTTCACAAATTGTCAATGCATTGCTCTAATTCATCAAGTCTTTTATTCTATGAGGGGCAAATATACATTCACTCAAATTCTGTTTTCACACTCTCTCATAAGGTAAAAGTGTTATCCCAATATACAGACTTATAAATCAAAGTATAGAAAACTGAATGACGTACACAAAGTCAGAAAGCCAAAAGCAGCTCTAATAACTCTTATTGCAGTATTTTTTATATTTATATAATTTAGGTTAAAAACACTGAAAATCACTTCTTCCACAAACTTTGTTACCATAGAAAAGAAAGTTTTAAAAGTTCAAAATTATTTGCAATGTATTATGTGCAATTTTAACTTCTGCTCTAATAAAGTGTAGGCAATTGTGGATTACTAGAAGGCTTTTTTTGGCCCACATGATTAACCTAGTAAATCTAGGGTTTACCAATGGGAGGAATGTGTGTAGCTGGAACATTCTTTTTCACAAGGCCAATAATTAGTGTTAGGCTTTAATAAATGTATCTGAATTATTACAACTAGTTTATCAAACAGAACTGTAAACAAAATACTTAATACATATTTTGTTCTTAAAGGAAACTGAATATTATAAATTTTTAAAGAATATTCCGTTTAGGAAGGACATTGGTGCAGATTTTTAAGGACAACAAACTAGACTGATTAGGTAAGAAAAGCAGAAAGTGAAAGGAAAACAAGGCTTCAGCTAATTACTGTTGAAGGAGAGGAATATAATTAATTATGTTAGATAACAAAAATCAAAGTCTAAAATGTAGCATTCTCTTGGTATTAAGTATAGGTTTTTAAAAAAATGTCAATGTAACAAGGCCAAGTGAAAATCTAATTCCAAGCCTGAAATTTCCCCAATTAAATCATAAATTTGAAATACAGGGCCGGGCGCGGTGGCTCAAGCCTGTAATCCCAGCACTTTGGGAGGCCGAGACGGGCGGATCACGAGGTCAGGAGATCGAGATCATCCTGTCTAACACGGTAAAACCCCGTCTCTACTAAAAATACAAAAAACTAGCCGGGCGTGGCGGCGGGCGCCTGTAGTCCCAGCTACTCCGGAGGCTGAGGCAGAAGAATGGCGAGAACCCGGGAGGCGGGGCTTGCAGTGAGCCGAGATCACGCCACCGCACTCCAGCCTGGGGGACTGAGCAAGACTCCGTTTCAAAAAAAAAAAAAAAAAAAAAATTGAAATATAGGGTCTAGTAGTTTATTTTTATTTTGTTTTTTTCCTATGAAACAAGATGCTGATTCAATAAAGCATGAAACAAAAGACAACTGCAGATTCAATCCTAGAACAGGCCTCTGATTTTCCTTCCATTTTAGAATAAGACTATATTTCCACATTCGATGACCAGTATCACTGGATACAAGTGTCTTCAAATCCATTTTGGTGTCAAGTATAGAATCTTCAATAATCTGGTTCTAAAGGAGAAAGCTGAGAGCATGTGAATTTGCTGACATGTCCAAATCCATTGACATTAGCCTGAAATAAAACAGAGGTTATGCTTTTCTAAAAGTCCAAGAGAAAACTGGCTTTGCCCTGCTGTTTTATTTATTATACCTCTGGACAGGGCTCCACATGACAGTCTTTTATTGAACAGTGGCCATCTTCTGCCCAGAAAGGACAAGGTCGCTTCAGATTAACCTTGAAAGAAAGAATAAATTAAAGTTAGTAAACTCATATTATAGTTACGGGATGTTCTCAAAGTGTCACTGTGTTGGACACCAGTGACATGGTGGTGAATAAGAAGGAATACTTCCTATCCTAGTGGGACCTATATGGTTCAGAATTTAAAATGACTGCAATGAGGTAGATCATGCCATTGCACTCCAGCCTGGGTGACAGAGAAAGCATTTAGAACTACTTTAATGTCTTCCAGCCTCCTGATGTTATCTTATTAATGACAGTTCTCTCATGCACCCATTTATTCAACGAATGAGAACTGAGCATCCACTACGTGTCAGGCACTGGTTAGGCTCTGGGTGAAAAAAATGGACAGAAAAAGAACTCCCCTCTCCCTCTGGAACTTAAATATCTATTGAAGGAAACAAGTCAAATATTTGTATGTTTCGTACAAGTTGTAGTCAGTGCTACAAAGAAAATCCAGAGAATTGTAATAGTGGGGCTGGCGGATGGAGGCCTCTGAGGCGGTAATATTTTAGGATGGAGGAAGTGTGCATTTGGATAAGGCAATAAAAAGCCTGGACAGTTATGTGAACTAAAAAACACCAGTTGAGCTGATGTTTAACGTAGAAGGGGGAGGGTGGTAGAGAACGAGGATGGAGGTAAACAAGGGACAGATCATGCAGGACATTTTAACCATGGTAAAAACTCTGGATTTTCCTATTCTACACATTACAGGAAGACAGTAATTCAGTAGGACTTGCAGATTGCCCATGCCAAAATCTAGATTTTATTCTCTTTCCTCCCTTTTCTTGCACCCCATCAAACAATTCATTTTCCATTTTTCACCACCTACCTCTTGCCTACACTATTGCAATAGTCTCCGTGCTTCTACTTCTATTTCCATATAGCAACTACAGTTATCTATTTAAAATAAATCAGATCACATTAATCCCTCCTCAAAACCTTCCTGTGGCTTCCATCACCCTTAGAGTTTATAAACTCTGCAGCAAGCTCCACAAGGCCCTCCATAACCTGGCCTCTGGCCTACCTCTCTGACTTCTATTATGCTCCTCTGGCCACACTGGCCTTGCTGGGAACACACCAGGCTCCGTATGTCTCAAGGTCTTTATTATTTTTATTTTTTGAGACAGAGTCT